CTACGAACATAAATTTCTACATGTAAGCTTTTTTTTTTATCAAAAAACGAAGTTTTTGAGACCAAAAGTGCTAAAAACAGAAGTTATAATATCCGGCTTTTTCTGGTTTTAGAGGTCCAATCGGCAAATCTCTGCTCCCATGGTGGAAAGACTGGTCCCAAGCCTAAAAACATGGTCCCAAACGAGGAAATCCATGTCCCATATGGGACCAGCTGGTCCCGAACGGTCCCATCAATGGAAAGGACGGTTTCATTGTGGGATAGGTGGTCCCATAATCTGTAACGGAAAGAGAGGAAAACATTTTTGAGATTGTACGATGATGTTCAAGTTGTAGTAGAACTTTTGATCGTTGATTTTTTTCTTGCAATCTCGTTTCATTGAAGCTTCACGCGAGTTCATTTTGAAAATGAGTTTTTAACGGAACCCTAGTTACTACCTCTTTCCGTCTTTTGTGAAATATGGTCCTTGACAAACGATGGGACCGGAGGTCCCATAGTGGGTCTATGCTTCTATATATGGGACCTGCCTTTTTGTTATGCGACCATTGTGCTTTTTTCGGGACTAGCGATTTGCCCATTTGACCTCTAAAACCGGAAAGAGCCTATTAATCATATAATGTTTTCCTCATTATCCGCTTTAGATTATGGGACCCCCGATCCCAACAAGGGCCGTCTTTTTCTTGTTGGGACCGCTCGGGACCTTGCTTTCTCTTTTGAGACCATGTTTCCCGGCGTGGGACCAGTCCTCCTTCCATGAGACCAGTCATTTGCTTAAACGACCTCTAAAACCGGAAAGAACCCTATTGTTTTGAGACCCCACAATAAAGCCTTCCCCACCCCACAATGAAGCCTTCCCCTATTCCAAATTTCAGAATCAACGTCATTCAAATGTCCACCTGGATGAGGAAAATAGTAAAGATCAGTAAGATTCCAATTCGATTGTATGTTGTTGGAGAAGTCAACATTCATTTCGAAAAACTATCAGATTGTTCTGGATTTAATACAGTGCCGTTGTTCGTTGCTTCAGAAAAGTTAAAGCAGAAGAACCTCCCATTTGAACCATCTGTCTCGATTTATTCGTATGATGAAGAAGTGAAAGGGTACAGAGGAATGATGGATGATTTTGTGGAGTTTTTCGTTGTTAAATCAGTTGAATTAAACCTGTCAACAATAATTTCTTCGGGAATTTGTGCCAAATATTTGGAGTACGCGATGAATCTTGGTCTCAAGTTGGACAGGGTTCAGTTGGTAATTCAAGGTGATTGTGATGTGGATGATCATCGGAAATTGTTGTTAGCATGTGCTAATGTACCTCAGTTACAAATTCTTTCTTCCACTGAGGATCCCATATTCGATGTGTTCCATGAATATTCGATGGATAGATTGGAATTGACTATTCAACATTACCACGATGGATTTACCATTGAACATTTACTTGCTCTTGTCAACTGCTCAAGTGTCAAAATCAGATATGCGGATATGACTGATGAGGATTTGAATACGTTCTTGAAGTTCTGGATGACCGGAGTTGGGAAAATGAGATCACTAGATATAACACTTGCACACGACGAATTGGAAATGGAACCAATTAATTCAGAGGTTGTAATGAATGGAATTGCTAATAGAGAAATGCAGTGAGTTTATCAATGATGTTCATCAGACCTGAATACACTTTTCAGAAGTGGATTCGAAATTGAGAAGTCAAACGGCGCCAGAGCTCAGGTATTGTGCAGGAACTTTCGGTTCAGTTTGAGGAATGTCGTTTGAAGATAGGATGGAGTCAACACGAACATTTGGCGCCGAAGCCTTGTAATAATTTCGAGAGATAAATGTTTTAATATTTCAACGGGCTATACCCATACATCCTGATTGTATGTTATCTGCACCTTCAATAAAAACTTACTCTTACGAAATTTTTCAGGCCGATATCTTTTTTAGGCCATTAATTTTTTTTATTCAGGTAGAGCCCAATTATGTTTGTGCCAATGTCAGAGATTGTCTTCAAAATGATGCGGCTGCTTTGATTTTTGGCTCTGTTCAAGAACCCGAAGCCCAGTTCCTCCAAACTCAAGCCCAACAAAATGTTTCCTACATTTTTTAATATTTTTTCTATTCTTTGCCAAATGTCTCTTATTCTCAAAATAAAATTTTACAGGCAATATGAAAAGGAACGTTATTTTTTCATGTTTTGCTGTTGAGTCACGAAGACATTTTCTAAAGAACAACAAAGACATTATTTTGACAATGATTGGTCGCCAAGGCAGAATTTCCTCATCATTTCACAAAAGTTTCCAGTGTTACCGATCATGAATTATATTAAATGTGCAATAGTTTCTGCTGTGATCGTCATATTTCTTATTGGATTTGCTTGTTTAGATTTCTTGAGGTCAACTAGTGTAGATAACTATGGTAAGATTTTGTGGTTTGGTGTCCAACTGCGATAACTTCCTTCATGACCTAATTTTTGTAACGGAAACTTTCATCAGTTTGACCTGAGCTGTACAAGACGGTCCCTAGGTTTGCTGGCGGTCATTCTTAATTCTGTAGAACTCACCTGCCCATAATCTTGATTTTGAAGGAAGTGATTGTTAGGCATGTATGATTTTTCAGAAATCTCACATTGAACTTTACAGACCCCACTATCTCCGATAAGCGGTTAATTCGGATATATGAAAACATGATTGATGCTCTAGAAACTCCGAGTTTGGGCCCAAGTAGATACAAAAAACGTCCGGAAACCCAGCATGTTGATTGTGGGAGAGTTCTCAGAAATGATGAAGTGAGTCGTAATTCAATCAGAAACACTTCTCTAGTTTTCCTTTCCAGGACTACATCCGCACTTTAAAAGGAGAGCATCGAATTCCTCTCATCAAAAACCGCCAATTAAACATGTCTTGCAAAGCAATCAAATCAAGAATTAATTACCATAAATCTTTCAAAAAATTGAAATCTGGTGGTGTTGCTTTTGCCAGAATCGTATCCTCGGATTATGAGTTCATTGAGAGACAAGTGGAGATGTCGTGGCATCCACAGAATTTCTTTTGTTTTGCGGTGGATAAGGATGCACCGAGAAGTTTCCAAGAAAACCTGAAGAAACTCGGGGAATGTATGGAGAATATTGTAGTGATTCCAGGTATTTTTTTTTGGGGAGGGGGGGGGGGTGGTACGGTAGATTTATGCGAATTATTACAGTGAGAATGTTTTCTCGCGTGGTGAGACCCTTCTTAGGTGGTTTTAGAAAAAAGGAATGGTGAAATTGACATCGGGGTGTCTAAGCCGATGTTGGTGGCTCAAATGCCATTTTTCAGCGCTTTTTACCATTTCTTTGCATTGAAAAATGGCATCTTGCCGGGGTTTTGCCACTTAAAAATACATCTTGCTTGTTAGAACAGCAATTTGCCACCAAAATCAGGACGGTGTCACAAAAAGAGCCAAAAAAAAAAACGCTACAAAGCCAATTATACCTGTAGACACTCAAGTGCTATGAAATGATCATATGCCAACTTTCCCAAATTTGGTTCTTGTGCTATTGTCTCATGTGCTATTTCTCTTGTGCTATGGATCAAGTGCTATCTCGGCCGTTTTTCTTGGCTCTGGTGCCATGATTGCTTATTTTATAGCAGCACATAAGATATGATGAATAGCACTTGATCCAAAATCTTAGCACCAGAGCCAAGAAAAACAGTCAAAATAGCATTTGATTCATAGCACAATAGCCAAATTTGGGAAAATGGACATACAGCACTTGGTCACTTCATAGCACTTGAGTATTTGCCAATTATACCGGCACTACGTCCATGGAAACTTCTGAAGGGTCTCGCCACGCAACTGAAACTTCTTACTGTAACAATTTCTGTTTTTTGCTCATAAACCTACAGTAATCCCAGTCAGTATCTTTTCCAGTCACAGAAAACTATGACAGCAATGGTCACAACGTGAATCTTGGGCACACCCGATGCATGGAAGCTCTTCTTCGATTCCCTGATTGGACCTATCTAATGCATCTCCAGAATAATGACATTGTCACGAAATCCGTTTATGAATTAGCAACGATTTTCGAGATATTCGGCGGAGCAAATGATGTAAATATAGGGAAAGAAATTGAGCAACGGAGAGTTCCAGGGTTGAAGTGGGATCCGAAAAGTTTGAGATTGTTCAGGAACGGTAGTTTTGTTAAATAGAAGTCTATAAAAATCTGGATGATTTTAGAAACTATGGTAGATCAAAAAATACTGAATAAGCCAATGAAAGTGGTGAGTGGCTCGGTGCAATCTTCTTGGTCAAGAGAAGCAGTTAGATGGCTGATTGAGGATGCCGACTTGACAATTGCGATTAGTCAGTTTGATCAAACTGTCAGTGTGACTTATATATTGCCTGCACAGTGAAATTTTTTGTACATGTTTTCAAAAGGTTTCATTGGCGGGCTCTGTCTTACTGTAGGGTCGCATGCTGACTGCGTGGCGACTCAGCGATACGTAGGCATTTTTCTCATTTTGTTGGATAATTGAAAATCAGGGCCTAAGCTTTTTTTGAATCAAATTGAATTGAACTTTTTCTTCGCATCATGTTGAATATAATATTAGCAGAATTTGATAGAAAGTTCTTACTGAAAAGTGTTCTGGAAACATGGTGCGCGCTCCTTCGGCTTAAGCGCGGTTTACTGTCAGAATTTAAAGACGCAATATGAAATTTGTAAAATTCTGTGTGAGATGGAGCGTAGAAACCGAGAAAAAAATTCTACGTACAAAAAAATTTACCATTTTGTGCCTGTAATAGAGCGTCACTTCTCCAAAAATACATTGCTCAAAACAAACAATTACCCTAAATTCCAGTCTTACGCCTCTGATGAGCAACTGTTCCCTAGCTTACAAGTCAATAAAGAGTATGGAATGCCAGGACATTACACTCATGAATGCTTGGATCAGGAGGCAGGAAACGAGCAGATTACCAGGTAACCAATAAACCTTATTGTCTACGTCCTCTCGCGCAACACACAGCCTTGTTCCCATGGCCTAGCGGGTAGTGTTCCCGTTTTCTAATTTGTGGTCGTGGGTTCGAACCCCACGAGTGCCAAAACCTTTTTTTTCTTTTTCTCTACCCCATTTTCAAAGCTTTTTTCAGATTTGTCAACTGGGCCCATGGAGACATCAACAACTGCGTCACAAAAACCGTTCGAAACGGTGTTTGTCTGGTTGGAATTGAGGAGTTTTATGCGATTTCGAAAATGCCAGCAATAGTCATCAGTGAGGTAACGTGCTTTGTTTATAAAGGAGAGCGAATAAGAAAACAATATTATGCAAAAAAACAATTCAGTAAAATTTCGAATTAATTTTTTTCGGGATTTTTTGAGCCAATAAACGGAAGAATAAGGTTTTTTTCCAGAATTTCGGAAATGAAAAAGTCGAGCAGAACTGTCTCCAGTATTATTTTTTATTTTACCCACATCCCTGGTTCCCACCTCATTTAGGACCATACATTTATCATACTTGGAACAGGCCGAGCCGGGCCAATTGATGAATTTTTGTCAAAAATTCAAATCCGGGCCGGCAAATTTTCCATCGGCCCGGCCCGGCCTGGGCCACCGGGCGAAATTTTCCAAGTATGACATTTATGATTTCAGATGCTTCCTTCCTTCGACTACACCGTATTAGAATGTACCGCTGAGCTCCTGTTCAATCGAACGTTTTTGAATCAACTGGATAATGTTCTGGATGAGGAGTACTATAAAACATTGCCAGCTGTAAGTCTGAATACGCACATGGTAGTGTTGTCAACAGTGTGGTATACAAACGCTGAAATACAAAATTCGCTGAAATACAAAAGTAGGCCTCTTTGAATTTATTTTTACGCCTTAATCTGAACAATTTTTTGAAAATTTAAAAGCCTATAATTGTTTCGAACTATGCTAAAGATTTCTACGAACCAGTCCTAAAAAACCAGCAATTGGAAATTTAGGCGAACAAAAATTGGCTCATTCTTGTTCCTCAGTAAAGCGCATTTGCATAACACACTGTTGGGGACACTTACGATAAGTAGTTTACAGTAAACTATTGCAGGTACTGTATCATAAGAATCGCGATGATCCAGAATTCCAAGTTAATTGTACTTCAAGCCATAAGATTTGGAAATACGATGATTATTTTAAAAAGAAACAAGAAGAATAAGTTTTGAAACTCTAGTTTTCGAAATACAGAAAATAACAATGAACCCGTAAAATTAATAAACCTGAGGAATACATGAATAAAATACATTAAAATCAGTCGGTGGGTGAGATAGTGGACAAGATTAAGCGTTATTTATTTGTAAGATTACGTTAGATACAGACATCCGAAAAAAACACCATAGTTGTCAAATTCCGGCTGGCCCGGCAAAGCCCGGAAGCCCCGGCCGGGCCGGGCCGAGGAAAAATTTCTCAAGACCCGGCCCATTTTGAACTTTTTTCTCACAAATTTTGCAACTTTTTTGAAAATTTTGCATGCCTGGAACACAAAATTTTTGGCATATTTTCTCGACTTCTCAATTTTTGAAGTCAAAAGCCAGGATGGGCCAGGCCGAAGAAATTGACGTGTCTGCCCGGCCCGTGACAACTATGAAAAACAGCACTTGCAAATGTTCAGTATGTTACTTTCCACAACAATATTCTTCAATTCATAACAAAACCGTTAGTATCTACACAGCAATACTCTTGTCACTTCTTACCCGTTAATCTGTAGTTGATGAACCAAACGAAACAACAAAAAGATTCCAAGGTAAATACTTCCTTCGTATCAACACCCGAAGTGACGTCGTTGAGTTCGGCAATGAATTGGATCATCACCAGTTGAAACTAGAAAACACAAAATCATCAGAGATCCATAAATCATTCTCTCTCCGTCACGAACAGGTTCTTCACGGAGAGACAACATAGTTCGTTACCGGGGGTCCAAAGGTTCAGGAATTCCCCCCGTGCTACCTTTTGATCTACCATTTCGTCGTCAGCTGTATCTCTCTGTCTCTCTCTCTCTCTTTCTTTTCAAAAGAAGATCAAACAATTAGAAAAAAGCAAGTCGTTAAAGATCTCTGAACGACCGAAAAGAAGAATTCAAAAAGAAGGAGGTGGAGACGTGTCTGCAACATCGTCTGCAGAATTACACTGTACTCAATATCACATCCAAATCTTCTTTGAAAAAAAAAAGATAAGCGGGGGGGAAATGGTTATCACGTGTGGTTGATCTAATGTGTCATCTGAATTGGAGAAGAAAAGGGAAGTGATGGATTATTATGAACGTACGTAATACGTGATAGAAAGTACGTGACAGAGAGAGAGAGAGAGAGAGAGAGAGAGAGAGAGAAGATCATGGATGTGTAATGAACTTTGTTAGTTTAAGGGTGGACCTTTTGGTCTAACGGGTGCCCTTTTATTAGGGGTCTGTAGAGGTGAATACTCAACTGCTATGGGGGTGATTAACGGCTATTTCGTAACTGTTAGTGTCTCAACTGCTATATTTGACTCTTCTGCTATGGATCAACTGCTAAAGCCATAGCAATTGAGACCAGGGCTGTGCGAAAAATTTTCGAAAAATTAATATTTTTCCGGTTTTTTCGGTCATTTTCCGAAATAATTTTCGCCTTTTTTTTCGAAAAAATTATTCAGCGAAAACCGAAAAAAAAATTTCGAAAAAACTTTTGAAAAAACATGTTTTTACCGCCTTTTCACCCATTTTTCAATGAAAAAAACGAAAAAAAATCGAAAAATTCCGAAAAATTCCGAAAAATCATTATTCGATTTTTTTTCGCCCTGAAAATTTTCGAAAATTTTTTTTTTCGATTTTTTTGGAACTTTTTTTTGCACAGCCCTGGTTGAGACATCAAAAATGACGAAAATAGCGGTTGATCCATAGCAGAAGAGCCACATATAGCAGTTGAGACACTAGCAGTTACAACATACCAGTTGAGATAAAGCATTAGATTTCATAGCATTTTCCCCGCTATCTTTTGATCTACCATTTCGTCGTCAGCTGTATCTCTCTCTCTCTCTCTCTCTCTCTCTCTCTCTCTCTCTCCCTCTCCTTTTCTCTCTCCTTCTATAGCGAGAGCGCAGAGAATCCAGACACTCTCGTTTCTCTGCGACTCTTCTAATCCAGAGATAGACACATAGCCGAAGAGAGCGCAGAGAAACTAGACATTTTGGCTTCTCTGCGTCCTCTCTCTCCATCTTCTACTATAGCGAGAGCACAGTGAAGTCAGACGCTCTTGTTTCCCTGCGTCCTCTCTCTCTCTCTCTCTCTCTCTCTCTCTCTCTCTCTCTCTCTCTCTTCTCTTAACCATGACTTTTGCACCGGATATCCTTTTCTACGTCACCACCATCATCAAAGAACTTTGAACACCCTCCCTTCCAAGCAAAAAGATGATATTAATCTATTTTGTAGTCTTCCCATAGGTACCTTGGGGACTAGAAAACTGTACCCAAACCCTCTGGGGGAAGCCCTTCTCTTCAGCTAACAACGCCCATCATTACTGCAAATTAGATACTGGGGGAACACGTGAATTCACTCCTCGTCAAGTGATTTTTTTAGTATTATCACCTTCTTTTCGCCTGTTTGTTTCCTTGAAAGGGGCGAAATGAATCAAGAAGACACGGCGGCGAAATGGATACCCCCATCGTCTGGCGGCTATTTCTTTTTCTTTTTCTCTGGTCTCTCCACCCTTCCTTCTTCAAAGAGACCGTCCGTTTTTAGTAGTATTATCTTCTTCTTGTCACCCTTCACCTTTCATTTATTTTGTTTCATTATTGTTATACATGTACAGTATTACGACAATCTGTATGGAAGAAACGTCTGGCCTAGAATCCGACAACTCGGCCACGCGGTGTCTCACCACGAAAGCGGGGCTCAAGACACAGCTCAAACCCAGTGCTACCGTAGTAAGCAAATTTTCTACCATAAGATTTTTACTATGCATTGAAAGTCGATAAACTTGATAAAGGTTTCCCGTAAAATCTTATGGTAGAAAGTTTACTTACTACGGTAGCACTCGTTTTTAGCTGTGTTTTGAGTCGTGGTCTGACATCGCTAGACGAATTTCGGCAGCCGCAACTGTCTTTTATACAGATTGGAAAAAAAATCACTTTAAAGGCGCAGGTGGATTTCTGGAAACACACACCTGCGCCTTTTGTACAGTACTCCTCAAATTGCGAAACTCTCTGCGGGTTTAAAGTTGGAGTACTGTAGTTTCTCAAAATTTCCAGGTCACCCCCAAAAATCAGCGATGGCGTGTCCATATATGGGAGGAGGAGAGCTCACGCATCGAGTCACTTTTATGGAGGGAGGAGAGGAATGTCAGCAAGGAGTGAATAAAGTCGAGATGGGATTCGGACAGACCTATCCCGAATATTTGCAGGTTTGTTTCCTTGGGGTGCCCTACTAGTCTTGTGAACAGTTTGAAGCTGAATAGCTTGGTTAGAAATGAAGATATCAAAAAGTTGTCAACTAATGAATTGCTCAGAATACAGTTTTACGTATTTTATCAGTTGACAACTTTTTCCTATCTTTCTTGGTATCTGAGATGATGAGTTTTAAAGTTAAAGGTGCTGAGAAGGTGACTTCTTATAGTGTGATGACAGTTCAGAGAGTCTTATCTCGGTTAGAAATGAAGATATCGAAAAATTGTCAACTAAAAACTTGAAAAACGTGCAATTTCACATGTTTCATCAGCTGACAACTTTTCCGTATCTTTTTTTGAGAATCGAGTTATAGGTATGCAAACTTAGGCTGCAAAATGATATTGGCGCATCTCCTAACAGAGAAGTACTGTCTGTTTGGAGCGGTATATCTCGGTTAGAAATGAAGATATCAAAAAAGCGACAACTAACAAAGTGCTCAGAATAAAATTTTGCAAGTTTGTTTAGTTGACAACGTTTCTGTACCTTTTCCGATAACCGAGATATAAGCCTGCAAACTCACAGGGTTCAAAAATGGGACACGGTGGCCTGTGCCAGTTTAGAGCGTCATATCTTGGTTAAGAAAGTAGATATCAAAAAATTGTCAACGAGAAACTTGGAGATCTTGTAATTTCGCATATTTCATCAGTTGTCA